ATTGACTCCTCATCAGGTTCAATGCATTTATTTTTTTTATTTATTCTTTTGTTTTTATTTTAGGTAACAAGCCATGTCCTAACCTCAGTTAATGATTGTACAGGTGGTGATTTATCCGTCATTAATAAAAGAAAAAGATGGCAGATCAATCAAAAAGAGAAACGCACTAGGGATAGCGAGGCCCTACAAAATCTACTAACAACTCAAAATAAAGTTAGCCTTATATATATTTTTTTTAAATACTCTTTTATATTATAGGATACATCTATTTTAGCTTCTGATAATGTCCCAACTATTTCTAGGGAGTTGAACCTAATATTGACTCCTCTTCAGGTTCATTGCATTTATATTCTTTATATTATTCTTTGTTTTTATTTTAGATAACAAGCCCTGTCTTACCCTCATTTAATGATTGTACAGGTGGTATATTGACTCCTCATCAAGTTCAATGCATTTATTTTTTTTATTTATTGTTTTGTTTCTATTTTAGATAACAAGCCATGTCCTAACCTCAGTTAATGATTGTACAGGTTGTGATTTATCCTTCATTAATAAAAGAAAAAGATGGCAGATCAATCAAAAAAAGAAACGCACTAGGGATAGCGAGGCCCTACAAAATCTACTAACAACTCAAAATAAAGTTAGCCTTATATATATATTTTTTTATACTCTTTTATATTATAGAATACATCTATTTTAGTTTCTGATAATGTCCCCACTATTTCTAGGGAGTTGAACCTTATATTGACTCCTCTTCAGGTTCAATGCATTTATATTTTTTAAATTATTCTTCTGTTTTTATTTTAGATAACAAACCCTTCTTTATTTCCTCCTTATAATTGTTTAAATATTGATTTATCTACCATTAATAATCAACAAATACAAAATAAATGTTCAGAAAAACACGATAGTCTTGACAAGTCCCCAACTAGTCAAATTTTATTTTTTGATGATAGCCTCCCAACTACTAGATATATGCATATATTGACCCCTTTACAGGTTCAGTACAGTATTTTAATGTTCGTTTTATTTCAATAATAATGTTTTATATTTATGCCTGATTTCCTTATTTTTTTTTGGTTAACCCAAACTTAATCCCTCACATAGCTACAAAACATGATATTTCTATTAAAGATAAGCAAAGAAAAAAATGGCGACAAACAAACGCCTTACCCGTTCTAGAATTACAGGTATGCAGGATAATAAGGACCTACGCCTGATATTAACTCCCTTGCAGGTTTTTAATGTTTTATATATATAGGTTTATTTTATAATCACCCAGATACCGTCAACTGATATTTCTATAACCACTACACATTCCCTATGGCACCTCTACCATGTATATTTCGACATATATTTGATGACCACCACTCACCTATATTAGATATCGGAAATATGACAGAAATATGCGCCTTCTGCAATGCTAAAATGTGGAATGGAGAAAAATTATCAAAAAGCTCATGTATAAATATTCAGTTTTCTACATGTTGTTTGAATGGGAAGGTATTTTTATCTAAAATTTCCCAATTACCACCAAATTTATTACGTTTATTTACCGGGAATCATTGTTCATCATCCCACTTTTTAATAAACATAAGAGCTTATAATTCCGCACTGTCATTCACTTCACTAGGAGTTAATATAAATAATAATTTATCCAATTCGCGATCAGGTAATTAAACCTTTCAAATTAATGGACAGGTTCATCATCGCATTGGTTCATTCCTACCAACATTAGGGGAAACACCTAAATTTGCTCAATTATATATACATGATAGTATAAATGAGATAGAAAACAGACATAACCAGGTTCCGTTTTTAGATCGTTGTCTTTTGATGGAATTGCAGGATATTGTTCACACACAACCCCTTTGCTTCTCAATTGAGAGTATCTTCTATGATCGCTACTGTCGTTCCTAACATATCCTTAAACTTAAAATCTACTCCAAGTTTTTATACACCCAGTTTCCTCCAAATGATATTTCTATCACCACTACCACAATCCCTATGCCACCTCTGCCTAATTTTTAACAAATATAAGCATTTAATTCCACTATCATTCATATCATTAGGAGTTATTATAAATAATACTTTATTCGATTCCCTGAGGAACTTTCATGAATATTTAGAGAGATGTTCAAACGTGAATGTGTAGTGCGGCCAATTTCATTAACATTATTAATGGGAAAATATGCGGTAGTTTTGTCATGGCCTTTATAACAAATTATGGTTGAGTTGACAGTGTCGTTCATGATTCTATTTTAGAGGGGGATACCAAAATTGACACTTTGGCAGAAATATCATTTCGCGTTCTTATTTTACCAGTAGCCCAGGGCCTCAGCTTTATCAGGACGCAATTAGTGTTGTACACTGCTTTGGTAATCCGTCATTATTCATTACTTTCACCTACAACCCTAAATGGGTTGATATTATACATTAATTTTTTTCTTCTGCAGACGACTGCCCAGATTTATTTTGTCGCTTTTTCCATCAAAAATTAAAATTTCATCTAGGATTTGCTCTTAATTTTACCAGACACACAGAGTAATAATTAATCTTCATCATTTTTTAAAAAAATTACCTAAATTTATATGGCAAGAAAAACAAATTTCTTAAAAAATATATAAATAAATTGCATATAAGTTTCATTAGTATTGTGGCATTTTTGTAATTTAAATAGATAGCATTTTTTTGTACTTAACAAAAGATATAGAGAGCCCTTATCAAATTTTTTGATAAAAGGAGTTAACCCACTAATTGGTAAATCCGAGATTTCCCCTTCATGTGTTGATAAATTATTTAGAAATTTAACTATCTCCGGGTTTGGGAAATAGTTTTGAAACTTAATATGGGATGGACTGGGCTTGAAAAATATTCCTCAAGATTAATATTTGCTTGCACCTGACTTGGGAATATCTTATACAAATTATTATGGGCCGGGCTAGGAAAAAATTTTCAAAATTATTATGGGTTGAGCTAGGCTTGAGAATTTGATAAATTATAAGGTCTTGAACGCGTGGAAATTTTTTCCAAATATTATGAGCTTGGACCTGGCTTGAAATTTTTTAATGTTAAATGTTAGTCTTATGTAACCAGTAATATATTTACGAAGAATTTTGGTATTGGGTACAAGCTCATTTAAATATATTTTGACTCAAATATTAGTTTCCACTCTTAGTCCTAATGGGTTGGACTCAATGACATTGCTTGGACTTGACCTAAATGGGGAGGGGGGGGTTTAAAAATTATATAAATTGGATATGATTTTTAAATAAAAGGTAACATCTTTCTTAAAAAAACGAATAAACTTCTCATTCTCCGTCATTTTCGACGGGCTATCTACTAGTTCCCATTAATCATTAGAAATCTAAAAAAAAATTAAAATATGAGTAAATCTGATATTTATAGGAATAATAAGTATAAGTCTTTACGATAAAAATTTTATTAATGGAGTTCCTAGTAATATTAACCATATTGTATTATATATAATATTGAATTATAAATAAATTATATTAAATAGGTAAATAATATTATAAATATATAAAATATGTAAATAATATTATAAATATATAATATAAAATATACTATTTTAATTATATATTATTTATGTTAATAATATTAATTATTATATTATAATTAAATCATACTTATAATTATATACAAAAATTTATAATAATATATTACTAAAATTTATAATAATATATTATTAAAATTATGAACTCCATTAATAAAATTTTTATCGTAGAGATTTATACTTATTATTCCTATAAATATCAGATTTACTCATATTTTAATTTTTTTCTAGATTTTTAATGATTAATGGGAATATGTTAATCTCTTTTCCTATTAGGAACTCCATTAATAAAATTTTTATCGTAGAGATTTATACTTATTATTCCTATAAATATCAGATTTACTCATATTTTAATTTTTTTCTAGATTTCTAATGATTAATGGGAATATGTTAATCTCTTTTCATACTAGGAACTCCATTAATAAAATTTTTATCGTAGAGATTTATACTTATTATTCCTATAAATATCAGATTTACTCATATTTTAATTTTTTTTAGATTTCTAATGATTAATGGGAATATGTTAATCTCTTTTCCTACTAGTAACTCCATTAATAAAATTTTTATCATAGGGATTTATACTTGTTATCCCTATAAATATGAGATTTATTTTGTTAGAGGTTTCTAGTCACTTATCTTACTAGGAAATCTATTTATCATACGTATTCTGATTACTTAGATATTACTTAAAAATATTGTTAATCGATTTGAGTCAAGTTTTTAAAAACGGCTAACTCAAATTTTCGCTAGCAAAATATTGACTAAGCCTCGATATTTAGCTGATGCCAAACCTTTATGCTACCTCTGAGCAAGGTCTGCTGGCTTGCCTAATATTTTTTCGGATAAAATATTGAGTTAGCCATTTTTAAAAATCGGCTCAAATCGAGCCGTTTAACAACATTACTTATAAATAATATGATATAATGAATAAGCATGCATGTTGTAAGAATAATGAAATATAAGCCTAACAATTTTATTATTACTTTTGCAATTATATCAATAGTATATATAAATATTATTATTATGATTGATAAATATAAAATAATGATTGCAATTGTATAATAATGCTATATAAAATAATGATTGCAATTTATATATCAATAGTATATAAATTTATATTTATATATCAATAGTATATAAATTTATATTTATTGAGACTATATATTGATGAAGGTATATAAAATAAAGATTGCAATTTGCATATCAATTATAAAATTATATTTATTAAGACTGTATATTGATGGTGGTGAATAAAAATTTGTATATATTGCAATTGAATATTAATTGTATATAAAATGATGATTACAATTTGTATATCAATAGGTGGTATATAAAATAATGATTGCAATTTGTATTTCAATAGTAATATATAAAATTAGGGTAATTACTTTTTGCATATCAATATTATATAAATTGGTGTAAATTTGGTATAAAAAGCATTAAAAAATGAAAATTTTGACAGCATGATCATAATATTGATAAAGAGTGATGTGAATTTTTAGCTAAAAACCTAATAATTAATAAATATCTATGTATGCATATAATAGTTTTCTCAATTTTGAGAATATAAATAATTATTAGAAAATAGTAGATTTTTATTAAATTTAGATTTTATAAATTTATATTGGGCATTTTGCTTTGAAAAAATTAATTGATTTATTGAATAATCTTCAGGCTATAAAAGATAATTTCCAGATAAAACTAGCAGCATATTTTAAATTTACCTTGATTGGTTGGAGTTAATGGATTATAAATGATGCTAAGATTAAAATTTCCAGGTTAACAAGATAGCATATTTTAAATTGTCTTTGGTTGGTTGGAGTTCCTGAATGGATTATATCACGTGATGCTAAGATTAAAATTTCCAGGTTAACAAGATAGCATATTTTAAATTTACTTTGGTTGGTTGGAGTAATGGATTATATCAAGTGATGCTAAGATTAAAATTTTCAGGTTAACAAGATAGCATATTTTAAATTTACCTTGATTAGTTGGAGTTCCTGAATGGATTATATCAAGTGATGCTAGATTAAAATTTCCAGGTTAATAAGATAGCATATTTTAAATTTACTTTGGTTGGTTGGAGTTCCTGAATGGATTATATCAAGTGATGCTAAGATTAAAATTTCCAGGTTAACAAGATAGCATATTTTAAATTTACCTTGATTATTTGGAGTTCCTGAATGGATTATATCAATTGATGCTAAGAAGAAAATTTCCAGGTTAACAAGATAGCATATTAGTAATATATTCTAAGAAGAAAATTTCCAGGTTAACAAAATAGCATATTAGTAATATATTCTATAATTTACCTGAGTTGGTTAAGGTCTCAAATGATGCTGGAGAAAATATTTTAGATAAACTTTCTAAGCAGGCAAGAGTTATAATATGCAATGATATTGTATAATATGATTATTTTATATAAGATTAACAAAAAATATACCAGTGCATTGTTTGGATATATGAAAGATATTGTTTTTTCCCTTTACCCACACATGATAGCCTGGTGCATTTGTAATACATAGTAATATTATAACTATCATTTCTAAAATGTGAAGGAATCATAAGTTAATAATTATATATTAAGAATATATTGAGCAATCAGCTTGTTAAATTGAGCATACAAATTTTAAGCTAAACAAAATTTAGCAAAAAGTCCCGCGACAAAACAACAAAACACAAAAAAAAAGTATATCATGCGGCACGATACAGTGACTGATCGCGCGATTTTAGTCGCAAAAGCTAGTTATCACGATTTTTTAAAAACACAAATCATTTTGTATTTATCGCGTGATTTTGAAATATTGATTCATTAAATACTGCCTTTGGTGAATATAATAGCACAAAATATTTTACATTTTTTAAAATAAAATATTAAATTACTCAATTTTTGAAGATATCAAACCTATGAATCAAGATAAAATTATCATTTAAATTACAAAAGTCCTCATTAGATAAGAAGGAGATTTATAGCACTAGTAACAAAGGTGCCAATGAAATAACTGGGGAGATAAATGAATGTAAAATATAGTATTTAAATTGGTAATATATTATTTAAGCTGATCTCATTGATAGTGACAATACATTGAATGATATAATTATTCCCAATCCTGCATTAATTAAGCTTGGTAATGAGTTTGGTAATTAATGATATCTAAAAATTTATTATTTATATTGAAGGACCTATATCTTCTGTTGAATCTTGTAATTCATATTATAAATGTCCTAAGAGAAAGTTTAATGATATTGGTAATTTATTTATTTGCTTTATAAAAATATTTAAAATAGACGAATTTAAAACACTTATAAAATAAGAAAAGGAAATAATACTAGATGCTTAAAAATAAAAAACCTGAATATGGCATATGTCTTATATTGTGGGAAAAATTAGATAAATGTACAGAAAAATGATTTAACTAATCAATATATGATGTACACAATTTTAATTTATAATATTTATGTATAAATTAAATAAAATTATATTTATAATATTATTTGAAATAGATATTTTATATATATTTATATTAATTGAAAAAAATTATAGTTTCATAATATTGATAACTTATTTGCCTTTTGTAAAATAAATATACTATATAGCTTTTTAAGTGACATATTCCTACATATATATTTTATAATGAGTTTAGACTATATTAGTAAATTTATTTCTATTAAAAAATATATAATACAAAGATATTTATATAAAATACAAAATTTTAATTTATAAAAAATATATTTATAAACATAATATTTTTGTATAATACAGGATATAAATTTCTATTAAAATTTTGCTTCCATCAATACTACAAACACAGTTAAGTAAATTCCACTTTATTTCGAACTCCTTTTAAATAATAATATACAAAAATATAACTATATTGCATCTTTACTAATCTGACAAAATCAGTAAGAGTAAGTGGTGGCATATGAATACTTGCCATATAGCTAGGCATGTTGTTCTATTAATTTTAAGGATGGTTGTTGAAACCCCCATTTTGAAGGAATAGGCTAAAGTAAGATACCTACAGTCAGTGGCTAAATACATAGATAAAAAATTTATTTAAATAATAAATTACTTTATTATTACCTAAGAGAAACCATGAGATTTTTTTTAATGGTTATAGGATATTTAATAAAATTTTTTGTTGTTGTCCTTAAAATGATTTTACATGTTTTAGAATGTAATTATAAGTTTCCTATATAATATAGAATTAATAAATACTTTGGTCATTCTCATATAATTAAAAAATTTTCCCCCTTTTCATGATGATTTTGTATAAAAATAATAATTGCTGATAAAAATTTATAAATAAATAAAATCGCTTTAAACTATGAATGAAAATCACTATCGCGCTTCACTATGAAGTGACAATATATTGAGATTAGAGATGGTCGCGGGCCTAATTTTTTATTCACAGCCCGACCGCTCACGGTGGCAATAAAAAAAATTCACGCCCATTCACGCTTACCACTAAAAAATTTTCGACCCGACCCGCCCGCTCACGACAAGCAATATTTTGATTAACGCTCGTCACGCTAGAAAATTCACGGTGTTTTTAAATTTTTCAAAACTATTGCTATAATTTAAAACATTTTTGAATTCATTCTATTTATTTCTCAAATTTCATAATCTATATTAATAACAAAAATAAATACAATCTATAAATCTAAATTTATTTAGAAAAAGAAGAATGCCCATCTTTTTTTATTTCAATTGCGTACGCCTTTCCTCTAATAAGAGATTGGCTACAGGAAATAACCTTTCACTAGAAGCCGAACTTATAATTTTCATAAAAATGGGAATGAATATTCCTGCTTCCAAAACTTCAAAATATTGTCTTGTTATTTATCTTATATGAATCTTTTAAGTTCATCCTCACAGCTTTCATCGGTAATGTTGATGCTTCATCAGAATCATCTAAAAATTCTCTAAATTTTTTATTTAGAATATACGGTCTTTTATGAGTGTAAGATGAATTAGGAAAGTGATAGTTGGTATTGACCATTTAGAATATCCGGTTTTTTATGAGTTTAGGATAAGTTAGGAAAGATATAAATGATAGTTGGCATTGACTTATGCATATCATCTAATTTTATATCATTTCGAATTTTTAACATTGTTTTATATATATCATTTTCTTTTTTTATTAAAATTTTAAGTCTTTTGAAATTCGAATCTAGAATTAAGCCTAACTTATGTAGACATGTGCGCCACCGGCTCACGCCGGCTAGCCGCCGATTTTTCTTATGGCGGCGGCGCGGCGTGTATAATATTTAGAATGTTGTTTAATTATATTTATATATTAAATTATTATTATTTAAATTTGAATATTAACATTAATATAATAAAACATGAATTGTATTCTATTGCTTTATAAAATAGAATAGTGTATATCATTTACATTCATTCATACACCATATTCATTTCGGCTATATTAATTATTTTTATGGATTTGCGCGTTTTAAACCACCCTATATACAATTATGAAATAACAACTCTCTCCACTAATCAAAAATCAAGTTATGTGTGGAAGTACTTTGGAAATCTTATTTTGAAGAATAAGAATAAGAAAAGCACGATAATGCCTGATTATATTTATTGTGAACCTTGTTTAAAATTGGGGAAAAAAGATGAGGAAGTTTCTGATAAAAATAATCCATTTTCACAGTAATTTATTTTAATTTTAGACTTATATTTATATATAATTTATATTTTAGTTATGATATCAAATGTTATAGCAAAAATATAAGTACCCGTCACTTAATTAATGTGTATAAAATATCAGAAAAAACTAATAATAATAAATCCATTCAAACTCTAAAAATGTTTCTAAAGCCAACGCCAACATATAGCAAGAATATAAAAGATAAAAAATGGCTCTTAGGTTAGTATTAATGTTTATTAATATTCATTTAAAATTTTTAACTGGTTTGTTAAATTAATTTTATTAAGCTCTATTTGTTCAAAACAACTAAATTTTTTAGTTTGTTTTGTCAGCTCTTATTTTGAGAACTTTTTAATGTACAAACTTAATATATAATTTATTAAAATAATTATGTAAAACTTTAAAACAACTAAATTTTTAGTTTGTTTATTGTCAGCTCTATTTTGAGATCCAACGCATAAACTTATGTATAATTTAAATTAATAAAATAATTATGTAAAACTTTAAAACAACTAAATTTTTAGTTTGTTTATTGTCAGCTCTATTTTGAGATCTTTTTAATGTATAAACTTAATGTATAATTTATTAAAATAATTATGTAAAACTTTAAAACAACTAAATCAAATTTTTTATTTGTTTCTCTTTTTTAAATATGTTTTTTCTAATAGGGCGAAATTATGTTTTGATGTGCTGCTTAGATTTATTGCCATTTAATTCTATAAGCAATAATGGGATGACAGATTTTCTAAAGGTTTAAAATTTAAATAAAATGATTATTAAAAAATAAATTGCCTAAAAAAATAGAAATATAAGATAATTGATTCCTCATCAGAATTGCCTAATAGGACAACTATTAGTCGGGGAGCACTTGATGATGTTTATTGTTCTATAAAGGCACATGTTTTAAACCTGATTGATGCTGGTCCAAAATTCTGTTCCATTACTTTTGATTTATGGACCAATCATTTCAAGCGGCGAAATTATATTACATTTAGTCTTCATCATTTAGATGAAAATTTTGATCCCTGGCAACCCGAAATGTGACTCAAAAGCATACTGAGGAAACCATATTATCGGAGATTGATGGTATCGAAGAGGAGTTTCATTTAAAAGCCAAAAATATGGTAACTGATGCAGGGGCAAATGTCAAAAGAAGCGTCAGATTGGGGGATTATGAGCATCATTTATGCTTAGGCCATGGACTACATAATTTGGTTAAAGTTGATGGCATAAAAAAGGTTGCCAGAATTGATAACCTCCTTAAAAAAAATTAGAGAAATTATTTCAGCCCTCAGATATCGAGTAGCTGATTTGGAATGTGAAATTGAAGATGAGCATCGTAAATGTCTACAGTCAATTTATGAGACAGGTCATATCTTGGATATTGATGATTCTGATCCATACCTTGATGACCATTTTGATAACGAAGCGGATAATAGAAATGTCATTACACCAACCAATCTATATAATACAAAAACGTTAAAATTAAATTGCCCTACCCGCTGGCACAGCATATTAATTATGCTAGAAAGTGTTCGTAGCGTGAACAAAAATCCTATAAAAATGTTTTGAATAAAATAGGAAAACAGAGTTTAAAACTTTTTAATAATGAATGGGATATGATTGACGAGTTTTATGCCGTATTAATTCCATTCCGAGAGTCAGTGGAATTTCTTTCCTCCCAAAAGGGATCGACTATAAATCTAGGGTTATTATTTCGCAGTGAAATAGCAACCCACATACAGATCAATATATCTGATTCCTCAGATATTATTTGTTTAAAAGAAAATATGCAAAAAAAGCTTGACCATAGGTTTCCCATTACTGAACTTCAAGTTATTTTATATTTTTATTAATAAAATTATATTTTGAACATTAGATATTAGCGACTCTCCTTGATCCCAGATTTCAAAATCTGAAAATTGTGTCAGAATATTT